ATATATATATATATATATATACATATATATATACATATATATATATATATATATATTATTGTAATCTATATATTTGCATGTGGAGAATAGCAAGAATTGTGTTTTATTCTCATTAAGTAACAATTTAGTATTAACACGTGCATCTTGCAGGGCATTAAAGGAGAATTGCAATTCACGGTTAATTGAACAGAATCAGAAAAACAGTATAGAACAATATCGTCTGCGTAAATGGGAATTTAACACTTAGACACAGAAGAGACAACCGCATTTACATCAACGGTGAACAGGACAGGGCCCAAAATGGATCCCTGCGGCACACCACCTGGATATTAGAAAAGAAGGAATAAAAATTAATGAATAAATTGTTCAATAAATGTGCTAGTTATTTCCCTTTGTTTGTCTTTTAAACCCATGAACTGACAAAAACAGTGTTTTCGAGGGCTGAAGTATATTTTTCTCTGACAAAATAATCTCATCTAAATTGTTCTGATGCAATAATCCACTTATGTAAAAATGCTGACTGACTGCAGGCCTTGCCATGTTTTGATTATTTATCTGTCACATATTCATTGGACATTTGTAACGTTGAGGTTTTGAATGTTCTTTGATTCCCTCCCCTTTGAGAGAAGCCAAAGGCTAAAGATAATTACACAAAGTCAACCCCGGTTTTATGGCCTCTTACCTGATACTTAAAGTCAGCTGCTATGTCAGCCGAGGCTCAAACGTCAAATCTTGCTCTAAAGCTGACACCTCACAGTTTAGTAGACGGAGCCTCGCAGACATTTACAGAACTGTAAATTCAGATTAATATACCATCACGTGTTTGACAGTTAATGATCATGTCTGAAACCAGTTGCTAAATTTGCAAAAATCTGACCTGGTGTGTGTGGTATGAGTAGCAATATTTGTGTAAATATGGTAATTACAGAAATGTGTGGATATTGAATTTCACAACCTGAATGTTATGCTGCTGAAGCTATTAAATCCATGTGATATCTGATTTTCAAGGTTTGGTGGAAATCAAAGGGTGGACAGAGTAAGTCTGCTTGTCCTTTCATTGTTTGCTCCAATGTTCATATATTTTGAGATGCGCTCATTATTTCAGTGTCAGTTCAAACTTAAACGTGGACACTATACTGCTACTAAAGAATCATTTTCAGATGACCAGGCACAGCGTAGAGCAGAGTTGGACATTTACCCTGAAAAACAGAATTAAACATTCAAGTATATACAGCTCGTCATCAACTTTGAAAATTGTTATTGGCTTGGCTTGGCTTGGCATGATGACTTTTGGAACATAGTAATCTTTAAGACTTTGGGCCCAAGATAAGGCCTGCTGTTCACAGAAAACGCTATCGTTTCAGTGATAATCACAGGTGAGGCTGTGCCACTAACTTATTTATAATTGATCCATTTGACCGATTACTTTCATTGAAATTTGGCATTTTTACGCATTATATGCTTAAACTTTAAGTTTAGAGGGTCTTAAACAAAAGTAAAATAGTGCCCTTGATTTTCTTTATTCCTATACCTACCAAATTATCACATTTAATAGTCATTAGTTTGCGACTAAAACCTCAGTCAAATGTCTCTAACTTCTCCTTTTGCAGTAAATTTACATTTAATCCTAAAGAGGGAATAGACAACCCAGTGATGGTCACCACAGAAGACACAGGTAGACGCATTTCTAAAATATCTTCTGTGTACGAGACCGTGAGGTAACTCTGCTCTGACGTCACTCTGTCTCTGTCTCTTCCTGGCTCAGACTCTGTGTGGACACTCAGCCTGCGACTGTGTGTCCTTAAACAAGAGGAGGGGGAGTCCTATGGCTTCCGTCTGCGGGTGGAGATGGGACGCCAGGGTCACATCATCAGAAATGTAGTGTCAGGAGGGGTGGGGGGGCGCAGCGGCCTTCAAGATGGAGACAGGCTTCTGGAAGTCAACAACTGCTACGTTGGCGATGTCCCTCACACTGAGGTAAGATGAGCTTCCTTTATTATCAAAGTGACAGAAGGACTGATTCTAACTGGAGCTGTTTCTTCTTTTTAATGAATCAGGTGGCTCGGAAAATAAGGCTAAGTGGACAGCAGTTATGTTTGTTAGTGTTGGATGGGGAGCAGTATGAGCAGGCTGTGTCCCGAGGTCAAGACCTCCGAGGTCTGGCCAGAGCTCACAAGGGGGAGGGCCGCAAACCTCCCAGACTCTGCCACATCACCAGGGATCGCGCCTCAGGCCTGGGCATCAACTTCACGCCCGTGAAAGGTAATGCCGCCCCTGGTAATAGCAACAAGTCCAGGGTTCGAGATTCGATGTCCAACAGAAGGGCGTGTGTTTTTCATTGGCTCCTCCTGTTTGTGCTCAGTAGGAGAGAGAGGCTGCTTCACTGTGAGCCTGGTTCCGGGAGGTGCAGCTGAGAAGGCAGGGGTGTGTAAGGGAGATCGCCTGGTCTGGATGAACGGAGCAACGGTGTCCGACCTCACACACTCTGCACTCAGCAGGATGGTACGAAGTCAGCCTGTTTTCATAATCAACATTTAAAAAAAAGTAAAGTCACAACTGTTTTGCTGTACTTTGTTTTGGTGTTTACCTTTACACGATTGATGTCATCATGACCAGCCTTGTCTAGCAGTCATGAATAATGTTCTGCTGTAGATGAAGAAATGTGGCAATCACATCACCATCTTAGTGATCGACGGTGAGAGTGAGAAGAACTACACGCAACAGAGGATGCCCATCCTGCCCACCATGGCGGTTCCACATGACCTACCTTACAGGGCCAGAACGCTACACCTGGTCTCCGGGCCTGAGGGGTTTGGCTTCCTCCTTCGGCAGGAGAAGGTGCCTTCGGGACGCACATGTGAGAGGACGAAAAGAGTGCAAAAGTCAAACAGAGGCATTCTCAACTCAAGTCGTTCACTTAAATATCGGTGTGTTTTTTTCATTAATAGTTCATGTGCTGCGGAGGTTGAACAGCGGCAGTCCAGCAGAGCGGGCAGGTATGCAGGATGGAGAGCGGCTGCTGGAGGTCAATGGGGAGTCAGTGGAGTCACTGACGCATGAGGAGATTGTGGACAGAGTGAGGCTGAGTGGACAACAGGTCTCCCTCACCACCATCACTTTTCAGGGGCTGGAGTTTTACACCCAGGTGGGCAGCGCTTGCTGGATACGTGTCTTTTCCAAAAGAAATTAATTCATAATGATTGGAAACCATAGCTGAGCATGACTAACATCCAGATAAAGATCAGTCTTTACCATTTCTTTGCTTTATTTTGCAGTTGGGTCTGTCACCTCTTCTCTTTAGTGAGGATGGTGCTGATGAGAGAGAGAAGGAGAGCAGCGTATCTGCCTCTGCAGCAGAGCAGTCACCACAAAAGGAAGATGATGGCTCGTGCAAGCCCAGGCACTGTTCTCTCCAAAAAGGGCCGTTGGGGTTTGGCTTTAACCTGGGTTGTTCTCCGCAGGGTTCTGGGACCTTCGTCAGCCAGGTAGGGATGAGATGCGACATTACCTTGTTACTGAGGCAAAAAGAACTAGAAGAGAGCAGGCCAGGATATTATTGTTGATGGTCAAATGTGGTGATAGATTTAGCTTTTTTTCCCCTGTAGGTGGCTTTTGGGGGCCCTGGGCAGAGTGCAGGATTACTTGACGGTGATGTGGTGATGGAAGTCAATGGACAAAATGTGGAGGGGAAGCATCTGGAGGATGTGATTATGCTTGTGGAGAAAGGAGGACATTTCCTTTCCTTACAAGTCATGGAGAAGACTGGCTTCAACAAGTTGAAGCAGACTGAAACACCTACTAGAGATGTCAGTGACAGTGAGGTACACAACTTTTAAAAAGACGTTATCTACCACATGATGTGTTTACACGTTTATCAATTCATCAGTGTCATATATCCTTGTTTGTATCTCAGCAGGAGGAAGACAAATATGAAATATCATCTTTGTGAGCGTCAAAGACATTCTGAAGATATTCAACTATCCCATATGTCTACTGAATACAATTCAAACTGAGCTGATGAAGAAAAACTTGCCAAATATTATTATTATTATTATTATTACAATTATTATTACATTGGTCAAGACTGCTTTAATCGAATCCGGTTTTATAAAGGAATCCGAAAGATAAAATAAGCAAAATGAAACTGCAATGATGTCAGTTGAAGAAATGTTGTAATGTGTATTTGTGTAAGATATACAATTTTGGTACTGTATTGTACATCCAGTGATGTAAAACATTTAGCCAACAATTGACACATTTGGCAGATCAGATGAAATAAAAGAAGTCAAATGCTTCAGGTTTTAAAAGGACCATAATCTATACTATATTTCTTATTGTGCAAATATGAATGGAAACCAGTGGCTTTGTAAAATTAGAAAGATATTTGTAGATCTAAAAAGTTATCATTTTGATCAGCAGTCATGTAAATAAAAACGGGTACTACCTTTATGTTATATAAAAGGGTTAATTGTATTGTTGTTGTTGGAATGAAGGGTTGTGTTTTACGTACAGTATTAAGTATAAAACATTAAATATAAAAACCTTGCAGAGTGTTTGTTTATTGAGAATTCAAAGCTAACAGCAAATATAGTAGTGAAGGGGAAATACAACATTATGTTGTGCAACATTTTATCTGTGTTTCTGAATATTCACCAACCACTTGACATGTTGAACTCTTAAATATAATCGAGGCGAATGCATAACACAAACACATAATTGATCCTTGTGAAAATAAAAGAAAGCGTGATGAGATTCAAGTTTTCAGACAAATTAAAAAGTGGGAATGTGCACAGTAAGTGTTTGAGCAAAATTTAACCATAACCCAAGATTTTGATGCAACTATTCTGACCTAATATATTATTATAAGTCCATTTGACCATGATATCATTTGGTGGTGTTGAGCTCTTTGCTGATTTGTGATCTGATAGATAGATCATTTAACACTGTAGACAAAGTGAGAATCAAATTGTATTGAAATTCTGGAAACGTTCAAATGCCTATGCCATGCAAACATATAATTTATAATGTTAATATTAATGTAAGTAACAATACTACATTTAACTTTTTAAGAAGCAGTTTTTATTTTTCATGATTATGTGTTGCTAAGAAGATGGATCACTTAGGTATAGTTCCATCATTGTTCAGAGTAAAAAAAACATTTATATATATATATATACATATATATATAT